GCTCTTATTATATACATTTACATTACTATGTTTCGCATAACTCTTTTAATACTTAAATACATTTTAACTATTAAACAACTTAAAACTCTTTAATCCCTTTTATCTTTTTCCGTATTAAAACTCCTATATCTCTTTTAATACTTATAAGACTTTAACTCTTTTATTCCCGGAAAGCTAGAGATCTGCATACCCGTATGCAGATACTGCGGCACATTAGCCTCCGACCCTCACGTGTCTCCGGAGTTACTTTCACGTAAAAAAATCATCCCACTGATCTGCGTAAAATCTTAATGTCTATATTATCCCGACAAATCTAAATCAGGAAATCATATTCTGTTATGCAGACAAAAGATGATGATGTAAGATCAGTGTAACATGAAACTTTAAAAAAATTTCGTTTGAGTTACCTAAGCGTACAATTTTAGGTCTTATAGCCAGTTATTTACTTGTTACACTGCATTACATTACATTATATACTATTATATACGTAACTATTTAGTAATATGCAATTCGCATATCATTTTCATAATTATGAGGAGGCGGCGTCCACATGAGTATATATAACTGTAACCGTTAAAGGGAATCTAAGAAAATTATAATCTCTGGGAACGATGCGGTACCTTTTTTTATTTACTTGATTTTGCCACAATAATCAAATTGATTGTGTAGACAAAATCTACTTACTTTTATCGGTGATCATCTTTTTTCCAAATAAATAATCAGAAAATAAATTAATTTCAGTCTTTTCCTTCTTTTTCTTCTTTTATTTTAAAACATAGCGATAGTATAGTAAAAAAAAAATGGTCCAATTTGACAATGTCGCTTTTTCAGAAATTGCAGGATTTATTTCAATAGCTTGTTGGATGGTGGTCGGATTTCCGTAAGTATAATTATGTTTAAAATATTTTAAAAAAATAAATTCTTGGAATAAAATGGGTTTAAAACCAAATTTATTCTTTAACCAGACAGTTATACAAAAATTATAAACGAAAATCGGGCGATTCAGTGTCACTCTATTTCATTTTTATATGGTTTCTTGGTGACTTATTTAATTTATTTGGAGCTATTTTTCAAGAATTATTACTGACAGTGGTGAGTCTTAGTTTATCTTGCGAAAACAAATTATGAATCAAGCAGAGTGTCATCATGATTAAATGTCTTTATGTAATCTCCCATGAATTCTCGAATAAATCTATTTCTAATATGAGATAACTGTTATTATAGATTCTTATTGCAATATATCATAGTGCAATAGATTTTTTAATAATATTACAAATTTATTATTACCGTTGCCGTAAAACTCATATTAACGACGAAGAATTAGAACCTTTACAACCAGTGCGTTCCGATTCTAGTTCTACTTCACAAGAATCCATACGTCGATCAAGGGTCATAGAATTCTTTGAACTTTTGGCAGGGCTTATTGGTGTCTGTATAGGTGGTTATATTATGTATTATTTCTCTACTTTAGTTCGAGATAATAATGATGGAAATGATGATCAAAAGGAAATGAAAGTACTTCCTCAAATTTTGGGATGGTGTAGCGCTATGCTTTATCGTAAGTTTATCATAATTGCTAAATTAATTATACTGAAGATTTACTTAAATTAATAATTATCGTTTAAATTATATTTTAGTCGGTGCAAGAATTCCGCAAATTATTCAAAACCATAAGTCACAATCTACTGAAGGATTATCACTAGCAATGTTCTGTTTTTGTGTATTAGGCAATGTTTCTTTTTGTGTAGTACGTATTAAAGTAATAATTTTTCAGATGATTTGAAATATATTTTGTAATCAATTATGTTAACTAATTTAATGTACGCTTCTACATCACACACAGCAAATATTAGTTTATTCGTTAGACCCTAAGTACTTGCTTATCAACCTTCCTTGGTTGTTAGGAAATGGTGGAACTTTATTATTTGATTTTTCGGTAAGCTTTTTAATTCACTTTATACTTTTCTAAAGTTTTAATAACCAACTAATATATTCATGTTTTTTTTTAAAAAAGATTTTAGCCCAATTCTATTTTTACAGAAATAATTTTAAAAACCAAAATCAATAATTGTTCTAATTTTATATTTAGATAATAAAATGTTTTACCTAAATTTTCCTGATATTCACTTATTGTACTTATTGTAAGTTGGGCTAATCTGAATTATCCCAACTATTTCTATGTATTTAACCCAGATCGTGTCATTATATTTGTCTCGATCTAATTTGGATGTACACGTTACAAACATCCATATATATGTTATGCGTCATTTTTCAATTTACGTCGATTATTAATTGACGCATGTCATTTTTCAATTGAAAAATGACA